AAAAAGAGAGAAAGTTAAATAAAATAATTTTTTAAAAAAATTAAATAATTTTTTAAAAATTAAAAAAAAAATCTTTAGGGACAGAAGTACTGAACGAGATAAGCAGAAGGGGAACCCCCACAGTTCAGGCAGACCCCGGTCACGAGGCGGGCTGGCCTGGGTGAGACGGTGCTGGGGCCTGGGGAATCCCTGCCTGGGACGCCCATGTGGGGCGGCTGCCTAGGGTCCCTCCCTGTGCCCCACAGAGGGGCCTGCAGCCTCCAGATCACTCACTACCTCACGAGGCATTGCATCCCGAACATCCGTGGGGTCACACAGCAGCTCACAGCGAGTGCATGGTCCCTTGTGTGCTGAGTCCGTCCATGGCCAGTCCCGGCAGGAGGGAACAGACACCCCTGGCGGGCAGGGGCAGGCACTGGCTGCCTTGGGAGGGCTTTTCAGGGCCACGAGGGCGGCCTGCCCATCACGCGGACTGCCCTTACCTTGAAAGTCCTTGAGCCTCATGCTCCGGGCCTCGGCCACCTTCCGCTCCTCCTCTGCCTCACTGAAGAGGCCGTCCTCCTCGTCTGGACAGCTGCAGGGAGAGGGGACAGAGGGGTGGCTGCTTCTGTGAAGGTGGCTATTGAGAACGGCTGATTTCACCCGTTCATGGCGCAGGAGGCAGAGAAGGGAAGAAGCCATCGGTATGCACGTGGCCACAAGGTCCAGATGCGGCTGGCCAGAGGCTGACGCGCAAGGAGGTTGCGACCTGCAGGGGGCGCCAGGCCCGTGGGTGACAGTGTGCCGGGCTCGCTCCTGGACCAGCCAGGTACTGGACGCCACGGGCCCAGGAGCCGTGGCCGCTGAGTACCCAGGGAGGCTGGAGTAGCCGAAGGCGGTAGGAGGCCCCCAAGCACAGAGCAGGTTCAGGAGGCCGGCTGGGCACTGACCACCCTGTTTCTGTCTGCCAGAACTCAAGGTCCCAGGCTATGGGTAGGGACAGTCCACTGTGAAAGGTGGGGAGACCCACAAATGCAGAAAGGTCCGGGTTAGACCTGCCCGACCCCACAGGTGGAGCCATTGTCAGCAGGAGCTGGAATGGCACCATCTGGCCCTTTTAGTAATGGCTATGTCGCTGGACTCCCATGTAGTTGAACGCGGTTCGAGTCCTGGACCCAGTGGCTTAAACTCACGCTGGGGTGTGTGTAGGTGCGTGCCCAAGATCCCGAGAGGAGAATGGAGGAGAAGGGATTGCGGCGTGACCATCCCCTCTGGGGGGTGATTCCTCGCTTTCTGTCTCTCTATCTCTGTCTCTCTTTCTGGTAAGGGCATATACCCTATAGCAAAAACCTACAAAAAAAAAAAAAAAAGAAGAAGAAGAAGAGGAGGAGGAGAAGGAAGTGGAGGAGGAGGAGGAGACCAGGGTGGGTGGGGGCTGGCAGGTGGCATGGTGGTTAAAGGCACTGGATTCCCACATGGCTGACCACGGTTTGCATCCTGGACCTGGAGCTTGCTGTCTCACTTTCCCTCTCTTTCTGATCAAGTAAAAATAATAATAATACATTAATTTAAAAATCACTAACTGTGCCTAAAACTAATTTAATAAAAAGAGGGACTAGCGGGTGGCGTGGTGGTTAAAATGCTGGACACTCCCACATGGCTGACCACAGTTCGAGTCCTCGACCTGGTGGCTTGGTTTCTCACTTTCTGTCTTTGTCCCTCACTGGTTAAATTAAAATAAGCAAATAGGGGCCAGCAGGTGGCGTGGTGATTAAAGGCACTGGACTCCCACATGGCCGACCGCAGTTCAAGTCCTGGAGCTGGCAGCTTGCTTTCTCACTTCCTCTCTTTCTGTCTGTCTTTCTCTAGTCAAATTAAACAAAAGTAATAATAATAATAATAATAATAATAATAAAAAGTTAAATAAAGTGATTAGAAGAAGAAGAGACGGGCCTCTCCACGGCCCTGCGGATGTGCGCCATCCAGGCGTTCCTGTCCTCCTTGGAGCCGGTGTGGATCTCGTACATCTCGGGCCCCTGCCGCGACGCGCTGATCAGGAACATGGCCTTCTCCTCGTTGGCCACCTCCCTCACGATGAGCTTCTGCAGGGAGATGACGGGCGGCTTCGAGTCCTGCAGGGGAGACCGAGGCGGGAGGTCACCGTGGACCCGGCCGCGTTGGAACAGCGGTGGGGCCCGGAGGGGTGCCCAGAGGGTTCCGCTTCTCTCTCTCTTTTTTTTGTTTTTTCAAGAATTATTGTGTTTGACTTTACTTATTATTATTAATAATTATTATTATTTTCCCCGTTGATCAGAGAGGGAAAGTGAAAAGCAAGCCACCAGGTCCGGGACTTGAACCACGGTCCGCCATGAAGGAATCCAGCACCTTTAACCACCACGCCACCTGCTGGCCCCCGTTTCTCTTTTTAACTTCCCAGATGGTGCATGAGTCACAGGAGAGCAATGGCAGGAGGCAAAGTGGGAAAGCGCTCTCACGAGGCCTGGCCACGCCGCCATCCCTCCTCCCCGTCTCTTCCTGTCATGGCGCTGGTACGTACACGTGTGCTCTGTGTGTGTGTTTTTAGAGGTTTTTGCTATAGAGCGCGTGCACTCGCCAGAAAGACAGAGAGAGACAGAGAGACAGAAAGCGAGAATCACCCCCTGGGGGGATGGCCACGCCGTAATCCCTTCTCCTCCATTCTCCTTGGGATCTTAGGCATGAACGCACATGCGACCGGCGTGAGTTTAAGCCACCGAGTCTGGGACTCGAACCCCAGTCGACTATATGGGAGTCCAGTGATGTAGCCATTACGCTAACTGCTAGTCCCGTGTTTTTTTTTTTTTAAGAGAATTATTTTATTCAACTTTATTTATTTATTTAAATTTGTATTTTAAGATGCTGGATCTGGGACTAGAACCCTGAAGCTGGCCATGTGGAACCCATCTGCCTTAACCGCCACACAGGCTGGCCTGAGTGGCCATTTTAAACCTTTGGGCGAGGCACGTGGTTAGTGAGAAAGGCCGCCTTCCTCTCAGGTGAACTGGAAGGGAAGGGAATCTTCGAGCCCTCCAGAGGCCGGTGTGGTGGGAGGACTGCGCCCTCACCCCACGGCAGGGGAGGAAGTGAGTCCTGGGGGCCACGGGGCTGGGCAGGGTTGGCCACGGAAGCCCTGGCTGGGCTTGGTTCCCACGAGGGTTTTCTGGGACTGGCGTGCTCTGGGCTCTGGGGTGGACACGGTCACAGGTCAGCAGCTGCCCGAGCTCAGGTCCCCAGAGAAAAAGGAGGGTTCGTTAGGACCCCGGACTGCCTGAGTGCTTTTGAGGAAGGACCAGGACATGCAGAGAACGGAGCCGGAGAGGAGGTGAGGATGGGAACGGAAGCCTCGTCTGGCAACGATTCAGGACGTGTGTTCTTGGAAAATTCTACTCCTGCTTGTCCGGCACCTTCCGGGAGGGCCTGGGTCACACGGGGCGACCCATGGTGTGCCTTTCTATAGCCGTGGCCCCCTTCGGTCTGGTTGTCAATGCAGCCTCGGGACTGCCCCTCTGCGGTGGCTTCCGGCCAGCCCCCCTGAGGGCCCCAGCGAGGAGCCTGCGCTGGCAGGGCGGTACGTACCACAGAGGCAAACACGTACTTCTGATCCTTCTCTTGCAGCAGCAAAAGCACGTCGGTCAACAGGACCGCAAGGACATCTGATGAGGGAGCAGAGGGAGGACCGTTAGGGCCTTTCCGGCCGCCCGACAGGTGCCAGATCCCCACGACGCCTCTGCCCACGTCTAGTCACTCCTTCGCGTACGCACCCGGCGCGTTTTGCAAGCAGCTGGGTCCAGGACTTGAATGGCTACGTCAGCCGTGTGGGATCCGACTCCCTTAACGGCCAGGGTGGGCTGGCCCCAGAGTCTAGGTTTAGGCATCCCCTCGGGGCCTCCAGCTCCAAATGCTCTGAGCTAAAGCAGGTTCCCGCCCTGCAGGTAGGCTGCAGTGCCCCAGCGGTCCCCTCTGCCATTGTGGTGCCTGCTGGGCTGCCCTGGAGCTTCTCTCACGGGGATTTCTCAAACGTGAATGGACCCCTCATCTCCTGGCTTCTGGGTCACCTGAGACCTGAGCCGTCGGGTGCTGCGTCCTGCCTCCTGCTTGCTTGGGGCTGTGTCCCTAGATGAACATCTTGTGTGGTTAAGGCTTTTACGGACAGGTGCAAACCCTGAATGGATTTTCAACATGGACAGTTGAGTCCCAGGGTAACGTTACCTCCCGACACCCCTAAATCAGATACCCTTCCTTCATCCAATTTTCTCCCATTATGAGAGCATGCTGGGTTCCTTTAAATTTACCGAACTTTTGCCACCTGAGATGACGCCATCAAACCCAGGCGGTGCCCACCAAAGCATGATGGTGTCACCAATCCAAGATGGTGTCACCAATCCAAGATGGAACCGCCATACCAGGATGGTGCCCACCAAAGTAACATGACATCACCAATCTAAGATGGCGTCACCAATCCAAGATGGCACCTCCAATCCAATGGCACCACTGTACCAGGACAGTGCCCAAGAAAGCAAGATGGTGCCACCCATCCATGAAGGAATCCGCCACTCCAAGATGGCACCACCAATCCAATGGCACCACCATACAGGATGGTGCCCACCAATGCAAAATGACGTCACCAATCCAGGAAGTCGTCACCAATCCAAGATGGCGTCATCAATCCAGGATGACATCACCAATTCAAGATGGCGTCATCAATCCAATGGCACCACCCATGGTACCAGGATGGTGCTAAGAAAGCAAGGTGGTGCCACCCATCCATGAAGGAACCCACCACACCAAGATGCTACTAGCGCTCCAAGATGGTGCCCACCACAGGCGGCTGGGCAGGACTCACCTTTCAAGCGCCCGGACGTGGACTTCCAGCACAGCGTGCCCGCCAGCTGGAGCTGCCGCTGTAGCATGTCCTCCTTCCGGAAGGCGAGCCCGTTCTTGAGCTTGCTGGAGGACTTCAGGTCCATCTTGCCCGCGATCTCCCTGAGGCGCTGGCCCTTCTCGTGCTCGCTGACCTTGGCGTCCACTTGTGAGATGATGTCCTTGATGAGGCTCAGGGCCTGGGTCAGGTCTGCGTGGTCCTCGGTGCCAGCTGCCACATGCAGCAGAGTTAGTGCCCGTCTGTCCACGTCCGCGGGTGCGACAACAGTGACAAGCTCTGGGTGCCACTACTCAGAGGACCCTCGAGACTCACCTCCCAGCTATAATCTCTGAGAGGTAAATGGGTCTCTAGAATAAACATGAGCCCAGTGTTCAGTTTCCCCCCCTGCCATAGGCATGTGCACTCGCCAGGAAGAGAGAGAGAGAGAAAGTGAGAAATCATCCCCTAGGGGGGTGGCCACGCCACAATCCCTTCTCCCTTCTCCTCTCGGGATTTTGGGCACGCACACACACATGCCTGGTGTGATTTTCAAGCCACCGGGTCCAGGACTCGAACTGCAGTCAGTCATGTGGGAATCCAGTGCCTTTATTACCACGCCAACTGCTGGTCCCCAGAGCTAGCTTAGGTTTGAGTTTTGTGCCTTTTTTATTTTAAATTTTTTAGAGAGATTTTCACCATTGGGTGCATGCGCCGGCTGGAGAGACAGAGGGAGGGAAAGTGAGAAATCACCCCCCAGGGGGATGGCCGTGCCACAATCCCTTCTCCTCTAAAGACCTTGGACACATGGACACGTGCCTAATGTGAGTTTCAAACCCCCGGGTCTGGGACTCGAACCACGGTCAGCTACGTGGGAGTCCAGCGCCTTAACCACCACACCACCTGCTGGCCCCAGTGTTTAGTTTTGAACAACGCGGAGTGTCCATTGAATGCAGAAGTTAAGGTGTTAAATGCAGTTCAAGTGGCAGGAACTGCCCTGCAGAGCTTGGCGGGCTGCTCCTTGGTAAACAAACTCCCCTGTGCCCCCACCCCTTCCTAAAAGACTCCTTTCACCTCCTGACGTGACGCAGAGCCGGCTCCTCGCACTCTACGGACGTGGCTTTCGTGGCAGGGGCAGTGCCCCTTCTCCTGTGGCCTGAGTCCACCAGAGGTGTGGTGAGATGTCAGCACTTGGGGACCAGCGGTTGGTGTAATGACTGTCGCTGGACTCCCATCTAGTCAACAGTTCGAGTCCCGGACCCGGTGGCTTAAAACTCACGCCGGGCGCGTGTGCGTGCATGCCCAAGATCCCGAGAGGAGAATGGAGGAGAAGGGATTGCGGTGTGACCATCCCCCCGGGGGGGTGATTTCTCGCTTTCTGTCTCTCTGTCTCTCTGTCTCTCTCTCTTTCTGGCGAGCGCACGCGCCCTATAGTGAAAACCTCTCCAAAAAAAAGAAAAGAAGTCCTCGGTGCCAGCTGCCACATGCAGCAGAGTTAGTGCCCGTCTGTCCACGTCCGCGGGTGCGACGACAGTGACAAGCTCTGGGTGCCACTACTCAGAGGACCCTCGAGACTCACCTCCCAGCTATAATCTCTGAGAGGTAAATGGGTCTCTAGAATAAACATGAGCCCAGTGTTCAGTTTCCCCCCCTGCCATAGGCATGTGCACTCGCCAGGAAGAGAGAGAGAGAGAAAGTGAGAAATCATCCCCTAGGGGGGTGGCCACGCCACAATCCCTTCTCCCTTCTCCTCTCGGGATTTTGGGCACGCACACACACATGCCTGGTGTGATTTTCAAGCCACCGGGTCCAGGACTCGAACTGCAGTCAGTCATGTGGGAATCCAGTGCCTTTATTACCACGCCAACTGCTGGTCCCCAGAGCTAGCTTAGGTTTGAGTTTTGTGCCTTTTTTATTTTAAATTTTTTAGAGAGATTTTCACCATTGGGTGCATGCGCCGGCTGGAGAGACAGAGGGAGGGAAAGTGAGAAATCACCCCCCAGGGGGATGGCCGTGCCACAATCCCTTCTCCTCTAAAGACCTTGGACACATGGACACGTGCCTAATGTGAGTTTCAAACCCCCGGGTCTGGGACTCGAACCACGGTCAGCTACGTGGGAGTCCAGCGCCTTAACCACCACACCACCTGCTGGCCCCAGTGTTTAGTTTTGAACAACGCGGAGTGTCCATTGAATGCAGAAGTTAAGGTGTTAAATGCAGTTCAAGTGGCAGGAACTGCCCTGCAGAGCTTGGCGGGCTGCTCCTTGGTAAACAAACTCCCCTGTGCCCCCACCCCTTCCTAAAAGACTCCTTTCACCTCCTGACGTGACGCAGAGCCGGCTCCTCGCACTCTACGGACGTGGCTTTCGTGGCAGGGGCAGTGCCCCTTCTCCTGTGGCCTGAGTCCACCAGAGGTGTGGTGAGATGTCAGCACTTGGGGACCAGCGGTTGGTGTAATGACTGTCGCTGGACTCCCATCTAGTCAACAGTTCGAGTCCCGGACCCGGTGGCTTAAAACTCACGCCGGGCGCGTGTGCGTGCATGCCCAAGATCCCGAGAGGAGAATGGAGGAGAAGGGATTGCGGTGTGACCATCCCCCCGGGGGGGTGATTTCTCGCTTTCTGTCTCTCTGTCTCTCTGTCTCTCTCTCTTTCTGGCGAGCGCACGCGCCCTATAGTGAAAACCTCTCCAAAAAAAAGAAAAGAATAAGACAGATGGTCAGCACTGCCCTGGCCCCGAGAGAGACCCGCTGGGCCATGGTCCCTTTCTTCTCTGCCCATAACGGATCGGGACACACCCATCTCCTGGCCCTGGTCACGGGACACAGAGATCAAGTGTGTGGCTGTCTGGGTCCACAAGACCAAGAGTGCCTTTTTCTTTTTTTTAAGAATTATTTTTTACTTAACTTTATTTATTTATTTAATTTTGACCAGAGAGGAACAGAGCAAGAGTGAGAGGGAGAGTAAGAGAGTAAACCACCAGGTCTGGGACTCGAACCACGGCTGGCCATGTGCGAGTCCAGAGCCCTTAACCACCACCTGCCTGCTGCACGCCCCCCTCCGTTTTAAGAGAGTTTTTTTGCTATAGGGTGTGTGCGTTTGCTAGAGAGAGAGAGAGAGTGAGAGAAAGCGAGAACTCACTGCCCAGGGGGATGGCCATGCCACAATGCCCTCTCCTCCATTCTCTTCCTGGGATTTTGGGCACTCACGCACACACCCCCGGCACGAATTTTAAGCCTCTGGGTCCTGGACTCAAACCACGATGGACTACATGGAGTCCAGCGACATAACCGTGACGCCACCCACTGCTCTGGCCTGAGACGCTGACTGAGAGCCTGCAGTGGCCGGGTCTGTGCTGCAGGGGAATGGGGGGCAAGACAGCCCCATCCTCGAGCGGGGAGCCCCAGCGCCCGGATCCCCCGGCTGCGAGTGCGACCTACCTTCCGTGTTCTGGATGACGCGCTCCACCAGCACCGGGTACTTGGTAATGCGCTGGGTGACCAGCAGGACACACTCCTGCACGCCGAGCCGCCGCACGATGGGGAAGTTGCCGATTCTCTGGGGGCGGGAAACAGAGCACGCGGTGTGAGCCACCGCTCTCCTGCCCAGACAGCTGGCGAGGGGTTGCGGGCTGGGCGGCTCCCTTCCTCCGCTCACCGGCCGGTACCTTTTCTCTGCCACTTTGGGAGGGACACATGCCGGCCACCTGAAGGCAGGGGTCGCCTTGGGACACGGGAGTCACAGGAGCCAAGCAGCCTCACCTTGGGGGTGAGCCAGTGCCCCCGCCAAATCCTTATGAGAACAAGCGGCAGCCTCAGGAGGTCAGGGGGTCACCCGTTGGGTTGTACAGCACGGGTATGCACACGCATGCACGCATGCACACGCATGCACGCATGCACACGCATGCACGCATGCACACACACACAGACCCAGCCCTGACGGATGACTACCCTTCCGGAGCCCCTGAAACTAGACGGGCACGTGCCTGCCCAACTGCCTCCCTGGTGCCTGCTTTTAAAAAACGTTTTTTAGGGGACCAGCAGACGGCATAATGGCTGTGTCACTGGACTCTCATGTACTCGACTGCAGTTTGAGTCCCGGACCCGGTGGCTTAAACTCACACCGAGTGCATGTGAGTGCGTGCCTAAGATCCCGAGAGGAGAATGGAGAAGGGATTGTGGTGTGGCCATCCCCCCGGGGGGTGATTTCTCGCTTTCTCTCTCTCTTTCTCTGTCTTTCTGGTGAGCGCACGTGCACTA